GATAAAAAATAAATAAATAGTAATTATGTGATCGGTATTGCTGATCGGCCCTCATGGGTGATCAGTATCGGTATCGGGAGGAAAAAACCTGATCGGCACATCTCTAGTACTTACTGTTAGTTTGTCCTACGATACAGGATATTAAATCTCACTGTGTGTTTTTTAGTAGGTGAGCCAAAATAAAAACAAACCTCTGATCAAGCTTTTCCAGATTAAACTCCAACAATCTACACACTGAAGACAAATATTTTTATTTCTCTATCCACCTTATTCCTGAGAGGCTTACTGGGGAAATGATTATAGGTCTTACTTCCGGCGGCTAGCGGAGGTAGCATTATTTCACTGTAATTTGTAGAATTTTTTGCTAGTCTACATTCATGATAGTAGTTGCATCTCTCTTTTTGGTTATAATACAATATTTAGTTACACTTGTTCACGGACAAGTAGAGACAACCTGAGACAACTAGGGACAAGTAGAGACAACTAAGTTTAATCAGGGGAGCGACAGGAACAAGATCGTTAAGTTTTGTACTGGAATGACCGTGAATTAGCATCGCTGCTAGCAGCTCGTTTCTCTGAAGAGCTGACAGGAATAAAGAGAAAGCAGAGAAGCTGGTCAGAGTCTGAGCTGCTGTTAGCGCTGACGGTGTAAAACACCAGAACTACATAATATTAGCTCGGTGTGATGTGAATTTTATTTTTCATTTGTATTTAAAAAATAATAAAGTTCATGATCTGAGTCTTTATCATTATGAATGGGCCAGGAACATTTCTTATAAGACAAAATAAAATATCTGGGCTCATTTAGTCCATCAGAACCAGAACCTCGAGGTTCTCCATTGCTGAGTGTCGCTGCATATCAGCGGAGAGATGACCGCAGCTGCTGCGCTCCAGACCGCAATATGGAGAATCTCCCCACTGGACCAGAACCGAACCGAATCGCATATTAATCTGTTACAGAGAGCAACTTTCCACTGGAAAGTGTCTGCCCTTGTGATTCTCGGGTAACTGTTCTGTTCGTGGCTGTACTTTAATAATCAGACCAAGTTTACTTTGTGGCTGCAGCAGCAGGTGTGTTGATTGACACCCATTTTGTCTGATTTGAAGAAGGTGGGGGGCCAACTTCACTCAGGTGCTAAATATGCTAGTGCGGGTTATTTCCAGCCATTTCTTCAAGTCGCCATCCCTCCCCTCAATAGCTGTAGGTAGCGGTAAAACAATACTGCCGCATTTAAGCTGTGAAAACTGGAGTTCGCACATATTTTATAGCCTAAAACCTCTGTGGAAAGCCAGTTAGCGAGTTGCTAACCCGCAAACAAATGTCGGTTCCGGTTAGCAACGGAAGTCGTACCCATAATTCACGCAAAGCATCATGGGGCATAGGAATAAGGTGGATACCATAGACATAATATAAGCTTATATTATGTCTATGGTGGATACGTTAAATAACTTGATTTCTGTAACTCGCCACATCCAGGTGGCCAGATACTGCCACCTGCAGGTGGGAGGTAGCATCTCTTCAAGCTGATGCTTTTCAACATTTATTCAGAAAATTCATAAAATTAAAAAGAAAAATCACAATTATGCATCACAGGAAGAAAAATAGCAGGGATCTTTTGATTTTGCACAAATTTCCACAACAACCGGAGGAGCTGTTCGCAGTGGCTGCTTCGCTGCTGCTGTTACCTTGGCCATCAGCATCTGCTGCTGCGCCTCGATCTGCTGCTGCTGCCTGGTGGCCATTTCCTGGAGCTCAGAGAGGGTTAGCTCTACCTGCGGGACCTGCACACACACACACACGCACACACACACACACACACACACACACACACACACACACACACACACACACACACAGAGTAAAGGACATTTTAACAGTGAGTGTCTCCAGAGCAGAGGTAGGTTTGGTTTAGAAAAACTTTTCCTGTCTGATTATTAAAACTGAAAGCTTTCTGCAGTAACTTCAGAACAAGTTGGCTCTAAATATGTTGAGTCACTGGTTACCAAGGTGATTCCCTGGTGTTCATGGGAGCAGCAGCACTGATGAAAACAGTTGCTGTGGCCACCATGCGATGGCAGCATGGACAGGTTAGAGGTTCTGCTGCAGGTGAAGCACCTGGCCACTGAACTTCATCTTCCTGCTACAGCTCAGATCAGTTAGCTGTTAGCCAGAAGAGCTACTCTTTACTTCCCTCTAGTGGTGAAGCATAGGCATGCTAACCACTCAGGTCTGATGTTTTTCATATTTCCCATCAGTCACTACAGTTTTAGGATGAAGGGCATTTTCAAGATGGCTGACATATTTGAGCCTCTTAAAACATTTTTTGCCTTAAGATGTTTCCCATCTTCATGACAGATGAACTTTATAAAATGTGGCAGAATCATAACCTGAGGACTGCAGCTAGCGAGTCATCATGGTTAGCTTTAGCTTCTGCTAATCTTTAATGTGATTAGCACTTTAGCATTAGCATGTTTTTGTAAGCAGTTTAGTATAATTTTGTGTGTAGCAGTTTAGCTTTAGCTTCTGCCATTTTCTTTTCAAGTGTTTAATGGATTACTGTTAGCATGGCTAAGATTTTTGTTTAGCAAATTAGTGGTTGGAAACACCAGAACCCCTCAGAACCCTCCAGAACCTCTAGAATCTCCAGAACCCTTCAGAACCTCTAGAACCCTTCACAACCCTCTAGAACCTTTCAGAACCTCTAGAATCTCCAGAACCCTTCAGAACCTCTAGAACCCTTCAGAACCCTCTAGAATCCTTCAGAACCTCCAGAATCTCCAGAACCCTCCAGAATCTCTAGAATGTCCAGAACCCTCTGGAACCTCCTGATCCTCCAGAACCCTGTGTCTGGTTCTGCTGGGCTCCTTATCTTGGTGGAGCCAGCAGAAGTTCAGCCGGTGTAGTCGATGTGTGGTGATGTCCAGCAGAACTCTGCCGGTTCCGCAGGCCCGGTCCGGCCCGGCTGCAGTACCTGCAGATTGTCCCAGGTGATCCTGCAGGAGCGGACTTTGATCTTGCTGCATTGTCCTTCCACCGTGAACTCCTGCACCAGGTCCACTTCGTTCCACTCCATGGTCCCGGCCGGGCCGGTCCGGCAGGGGAAACCGGACCAGACCAGAACTTTATCTGGTGTCGAGCTCAGGTCTACCTCAGATACAGTCTTCTTGGCGAGTTCTGCTGTGGGAACCGGGTCAGAACCAGCATGTTCTGTTTCTCTCCTCGTCCTGCTGCAGCTCTTTGCTGCGACACCCCCCCTCCCCCGTCTCTCGCCCGTCTCCTCTCTCTCTCTACTGCAGCAGAGCCGGCTTAGCCCCGCCCCCTCCAGATGTGCTTGATGAGGAAGATGATGCTGCCAGAGCGAAGAACAGAGGGAACGTCCTGCCGGCTGCGTCACGCTGCAGGACAGACGACTCGGTCCGACATTCTGCTGGTCCAGATGTGAATCCAGGATGTGGTCAGATCAGAAAAATTGACAGAGAAATGGTGGAGGATAGTCTGGAGCGGATCAGAACCGGAATCTGGACCGGATC